AGCTGGTAAATACCCATTTGATCATGTAACTTTCTTGATGGTTTCAAATGATAGGACCAATGGCAATTCATAGTTATCCCACAAGACAAACATTTCTTGCTTGACCACAGCTATTGGAGGAATGAACCTGAAATAATGAAAAACAATAATTTTCTTTGCACTCTAGTAATAGTCAAATATATGATATTTTCTTATGCTCTCCTGATGTTTTAAATCAAAGAAATTACAGTCCACAAATGGGAAATAAATCACTTTTCTATTTCAATAGGACAATTCCAGAGGTGATATGGTAGTATATTTATTTATTCATTCGCCATTACTAAAGCAACATGTGGCGGATTTTAGTATCAAATATGTATAAAGGTGAGAGGAGAGCAATAATTCCAACCTGCACCATCCCTCACTTCACCAAGGGAAGTGAAGCAGGTTGTGAGATTTGGATCCATGCTATGAAATACAGTAGAGTCTCACTTATCCAACATAAACAAGCTAGCAGAATGTTGGATAAGCGAAAATGTTATTATGATATTATTATATTATACTTATATATTTGTATTACATGTAATATTACTAATAATATTACGATATAGTGGTATGGTGCAATATAGCAATGTTTAATGCTGATATTGTACCATGCTAATAATATAATATATTGTATGTAATATATATCTTGTAAGCTGCTCTGAGTCCCCTTTGGGATGAGAAGGACAGCATATAAATGTCGTAAATAAATAAATAAGTGTTGGATAATAAAGAGGGAAGATTAGTAGAGGCCAAGATTAAGTACTTTGGCCACATCATGAGAAGAAAGGAAAGCTTAGAGAAGACAATTATGCTGGGGAAAATGGAAGGAAAAAAGAAGAGCGGCTGACCAAGGGCAAGATGGATGGTTGGTATCCTTGAAGTTACTGGAGCTGGGGGTGGTGACGGCCGACAGGGAGTTCTGGTGTGGACTGGTCCATGAAGTCGTGAAGAGTCGGAAACGACTGAATGAATAAACAACAACAACAACAACAACAATAAGGAGGGATTAAGGAAAAGCCTATTAAACATCAAATTATGTTATGATTTTACAAATTAAGCACCAAAACATCATGTTTTACAACAAATTGACAGAAAAAGCAGTTCAATACATGGTAACGTTATGTAATAATTACTGTATTTATGAATTTAGCACCAAAACATCACAATGTATTGAAACAGCTGTGGATCCGGGCAGGAGGCAGACTGCACTGGGTAATACAGAACATTGTATGAGAGAAGGTTGGATAAGCAAGACTCTACTGTAGTGATTTGCACCCATAAAGCATGGAGTTGTACAGCCGGAAAGAGGAAGCTTCATCTCCCTCCGCGATGCACACATTTTCCTGTTAAAATTAGATCCTTAATCCTTTCCCCAATTTAGGCTTAATGGCAGACATGTGAAAAACATATGCTTGGGTGCATAAAATATGTATATCATGTATATGTATATCATGCTTTGTGTAAGTGTAGCAGCTGGGATGGAGGCTGGTGAGTGATCTGCATCGTTTTGGGAAAATGACCCTGACGTTACACTTTATAAATGACTGTGTCAGAAAAGTGTCATGTGTGAAACATTCCTCAGGGTTAGAAAAGAGCACCATGTGTTGTCTATCATGCATTCATCCTCAGTGGCTCGGAGAGTCACCCCTTCTGTTCACAAGCATGGAAACATTTGTGGTGTGGGACAGGTCTTATTTTAAACTCCAGCTATGAGCGGAGGATAGAGAGTGGAACAAGTGTTTGACAGTTGACAATGTCCATCACACACTTTCGTGATGATGGAGGGGTTAAAAATAGAGAGTGTTACCTCACGGTTCCCAGCAGCAATGTCCTGCTAGTGGAGACAAAAGAGACGCTTTAAAAGAGCAGTGGAGTTGCAACCAAAGGGCCTGCCTGGCTGTTTGAAGGTTTTGGTTCTGCTCCAGAAGGGAGCTGCTCTATTCCTCTTCTCTGCCTCTTTATGGATAGCTGTGAGTTAAAAGGGATACGCAGCATGCCCTTCTCTCCTGGACTGGATGGTGCTTTTAAGAGCTTGGACCAACCATATGCAGGTACCATTTTCCTTTTGAGCACAAAACTTTAGCAAAGCTCTTCGTCGTGACAATCCCTTTTTTCAGAAGCCAGTTTGTACAGGCTTTGTATTATTTTCAGATGGGTTATATAATAAGGCAGGAAGCAGAACTTATTGTTTTAGAGAAAAATGGATTTCAGATTTTGAACAATTGGAAGTTGAACAAGGGGAATAAGTATGAAAAGAGTGTGTTAAACCTTCTCCATGTTGACATGACTCTACACTTTTAGGTGGGGATGTTTTAGACCGGGGTCCTCAAACTTTTTAAACAGAGGGCTAGGTCAGAATCCCCAAAATTGTTGGAGGACTGGATTATAATTTGAAAAAAACATGAATGAATTCCTATTCACACTGCACATATCTTATTTGTAGTGCAAAACAACACTTAAAAACAATACAATACTTAAAATGAAGAACAATTTCCACAAATATAAACTTATTAGTATTTCAGTGGGATGTGTGGGCTTGCTTTTGGCTGATGAGATAGGATTGTTGTTGTTGTTGTTGTTGTTGTGTACTTTCAAGTAGTTTCAGACTTAGGTTGACTCTGAGCGAGGGCTGGGTAAATGACCTTGGAGGGCCACATTCGGCCCCTGGGCCTTAGTTTGAGGACCCCTGTTTTAGACAGACAAGAGGAAGTACAATGTATTGTCAAAGGCTTTCATGGCTGGAATCACTGGGTTGTTGTAGGCTTTTTGGGCTATATGGCCATAGCCATAGAAGCATTCTCTCCTGACGTTTTGCCTGCATCTATGGCAAGTATCCTCAGAGGTTGTGAGGTCTGAGGAAGTACATTTTCCAAAACTGAGTAATCAGTTGAAGGAAACTACTATCACCAAATGTAATTTACGTGGCTGTAAAAATGAAGGGAATCTTCATGTTGAAAAAGTCCACTTCTGAATACCCATCACTGGCATCTTGATACCCGCAGCATCCTCTCCACGAAGATGATCCAAGTACTGTAAAGGTTTGAAGCTGTTGTCCCTTCCTCAAAGCTTGTCTTTCAGCAAGATAGATGGAATTACAGCCAGAAACTTTAAATTCTATAAATCATTTCTTGGAACTTTTGTTTTATTCTTTGTTTCATTGGTTGACATTTTTACCATAACCTAAGCTAACAAAAGCAATGGGCAGAGGTAGATAAACAATAGTGAACAGGAAAGCTCTACTTGCCTGGAGTCTATGCAGTACAGCATGCACATAGATGGCAAAAAGCTTGGAGTCAACACTTTCTGGATGGACGTATTTTAAGAAGTGATGCAGAGGCCTGTTAGTACCTCCCTTTGTTTCTATTTCCTATAAAAATTGTATGTATCTTAATGCCCTTCCACACAACCATATAACCCAGAATATCAAGGCAGAAAATCCCATAATATCTGCTTTGAGCTGGGTTATATGAGTCCACACTGCCATATATTCCAGCTCAGAGCAGATGTGGGATTTTATTCAGCTGTGTGAAAGGTGCCTTACTTGGCCTTCATTGTGCTTCAGGGCAAGACTGATGATGTTCTTGAGTCAAAGTATATTAAAATGCTTGCACCTCTGGAGTGGATGGAACAACGAAAGGAAGGAGAATCCTTCTGTGGAGCTATAAGTAGGTTTGTAAGATTGGGCTGAATCTTAAGAAATACCTGGAAGATCTTTTGGATTTGGGCCAAGGATTGTCTCTAAGGAATTATTTAAATCAAATACAGTTGAGTGAATAATATTTCACTGTTGTTAACTGATGAATTTACTACTACTACTACTACTACTACTACTACTACTACTAATAATAATAATAATAATAATAATAATAATAATACTTTATTTATACCCCGCCACCATCTCCCCAAGGGGACTCAGGGCGGCTTACATGAGGCTAAGCCCAACTTAAACTTATTACATGTATAATTTTCTTGCATTTGTCAAGTTTGCTATTCCCATGGCAGTTCTTCAGATTGTAGAGGATGTTTTTGCCAGCATATAAATGGAAATTGACAACAATACAGAAGGAAAAGGCAGGGAATAGTTCTGATGTTTGAGGAATCATATGCTTCTCAGTGGCTTCCATAGCCGTCACCTTCCCAGTTTGTCTTGGGTTTCTGTGTACTCCTGACCCCTTCCTCCATTTTCACTCCCTCCTTCTGCATGCTGAGGTAGATGACACAAAGGAAAATGAGGTAGGAATGAGGTAGTATAGATCTGAGGAAAACTGGACAAGACCAGTATTTCAGATGAGTGGTCGATCACAACTACTTATGCTTCTTAAAACTGAATAAATGAATAATTACAAAATAAACACTGGCATAGCACAACAGCAGACTGGTTGAGTTGGATTTTTTTTCTGCCTGACAAACTGGCTTTATTCCACCTGCAGAAAGCATTTCCCTCCTCAAATGATGAGGAGCATCTTGAATACAATTCCACCATCAGGAGTTGTATTCATCTCTGCTTTTCTAGGCTGGACCTGCAAATCACACGTAATTGTTTTGGGACTACCACAGGCAAAGTGGAATTTTTACTTCAATGTTTGTAAAGTCCTGCTCACATTGAGAAAGGCTAGGAGGATCTTATAACAGTCTAGTCCAGTGGTTCTCAACCTGTGGGTCCCCAGGTGTTTTGGCCTACAACTCCCAGAAATCCCAGCCAGTTTACCAGCTGTTAGGATTTCTGGGAGTTGAAGGCCAAAAACATCTGGGGACCCCGTGAGAACCACTGGTCTAGTCTAAAGTGCCTTGTCTTCCCTCACTAGCAGAATGCATGGTACAACCCCAGGGATGGCTAACAGGAAGGTGAAGAGCCCCGGTAAGAGGCTCTTCTACCATGTGTATACTCAAAAATGACAATGAAAATATACACTATGCTTTCCAACTGCACTTCCAGCTGCAGAGTACTGACTGTGTTTCTTTCTTGTTCTGTGCAGAGCTTCATCGCAGTGAGAGCATGCAAGAAAAGAACATGAAAGAAGCCAAAACCAAGTGCCGAACCATTGCATCTCTGTTGACAGATGCACCCAACCCGCATTCCAAGGGTGTCCTGATGTTCAAAAAGCGCAGACAGAGGGCCAAGAAGTACACCCTTGTCAGTTTTGGGAGTGTTGATGAAGACCGTTGCTATGATGAAGAGGATGGTGTCTTTCCAACCAGTGAGTCTGAATTTGATGAGGAAGGCTTCTCTGATGCCAGGAGCTTAACAAACCATTCAGACTGGGACACGTCTTACCTCGATATTGAGAAGCCGAAAGGGGATCCTGCACATGAGCAGGACCAACCACAACAGGTCCTCAGTGAAGCCTCAGGCAGGGGAGCCCAGTTGTTTGAGCAGCAGAGGCAGAAAGCTGGTAAGCATACTGTGGAGAAGGTCCCTAACCAGAAGTTGGAGGAACAACCCCCAGCCTCTGTTGTTCTGCCAACTCACAGAGTGGGGGGTGAGGAAGGCCCTATACCACAGAGGGCAGAAAAGGCTCCACTGAGCGTCCATTTAGAATCTGTGCAAGTCTCCAGCCAGCTGCCATCCCCTAGCCCTGCTCAACTCCAGTCTCCCTCTGGCATCTTTGGAGGAAGTGCCCACATTTCTCCAGGTACCCCAAGCCTCTTCAACCGATCTGCCCGTCCTTTCACACCTGGGTTCATTGGACAGCGCCCTGTAACATCTTCAGTTGTGTTTAGACCATCAGTGCCAAAGAAAAGCAGTGAGAGTTTGAGTGAACAGAGAACATCCACGTCTCCTTTCTTTCCTGGCTCTACAGTGTTTTCCCCCACACCATCGGCAATGCAGTCTAATGGGCCAGCAAGTACATCTGTATCTCTGTATATCCCAACAACCCCCTCACCAATGCAGCCAACAGGAATTGGGAATACAGCAGAAGCTAAACCACTTTCCAATACAGCCAGAACCTCCACAGCTTCCATTTATCTTTCAGCTCCTTCTAAGCCAGCTCCAGGTGTGGTCGCTGCTACATCCCCACCATCTTTGCCTTCACAAACCCAGGATACAACTGCTTCCACGTTGTATCTTAGCCCCACCACACAGCCTTGCCCCACCATTGCACCTGCTATTCCACGGCCTGCCTCTGAGCCCTTTGCCTCCAGAGAGCAGAGGGTCTCATTACCAGCTCCCAGAACTGGAATCTTGCAGGAAGCCCGTCGACGGAGCAGCAAGAAGCCCATGTTCAAAACTGTGGAAGAAAAGAAAAAGAATTCTCCTAATCCAGAGTTACTGTCTCTCGTGCAGAACCTGGATGAAAAGCCCAAGGGAGACCATCATGGGGCAGGATTTGAGTCTGGGCCTGAAGAAGATGTCCTCAGTTTGGGAGCAGAAGCCTGCAACTTCATGCAGGCTTCAGGCCGGAGGTTCAAGACCCCACCTCCAGTAGCACCTAAACCTCAGCCATCACAGGCTGCAGGAGGACTGGTGAATGGCATGTCTCCTTTGAAGGGGAAAGGCGCAGAGCTTTTTGCAAAGCGACAGAGTCGCATGGACAGATTTGTAGTGGAGGCAGCACCATCCTCAGCCTCAAAGCCCAGAACCCCATCCCCAGCTCCTTCCCTGCCTTCCTCTTGGAAGTACTCCCCAAATATCCGTGCTCCGCCCCCCATAGCTTACAACCCACTGCATTCCCCATTTTACCCATTGGCAGCCAGCAAATCTCAAGGAATCAAGGCAGAGAGCAAAGTGAAAAAGCCACCTAGTCAGAAGTCAGGAATCAAGGCCATTGACTTCATGAGACATCAGCCATACCAGCTAAATTCTGCCATGTTTTGTTTTGGGGAGACTCCAAGCTCTGGAGGTGGTGCTCAGTCGGGAACAGCCCAGAGGGGCCAGCAGTCCAGCTTATCATTCACTCCAGCCAAGCAAGCACCTGTGAAAACTGCGAGGACCTATGAGATCCGTCGCTTCTCCACCCCTGCCCCAATGCCAGTTTCAAATAGCTTGGCCCCTACTGTTCTGGCTCCCCGTTCTGCCACCACCTTGGATGAGCCGGTGTGGAGGACAGAAATGACCTCCACTTCCGCTCCCGTCTCCCCTGGGCCCTTTCAAGTGGCTCCCCCCCATTACCAAAGCTCTCCCGAACTCAGTGAAGCATACAGAGTGGCCTCTCCCAGTCGTCCCACCTCATCCTCTAGTTTCCAGGTAGCCAGGCCTAGATTCTCAGCAGCCCAAACTGGGATGCAAGCGCATGTGTGGAGACCAGGCTCTAGTCATCATTGAAAAAAAAAGAGCTGATTCTCCTGTCCCTACCACAGGACCTCTCCTCCCCTATCACTCTTTGGGTGTACAAATAAAATTCCCAATCTAAAAAGTGTAAGTGCAGCAATCAGGTTAAAAATAATTCCTGGGTCTTACAAGTATACTCACCAGAGTGGTTGGATTGGCTGTAGTTTATTGCTGAGTGTCAGCTTGATGGCAATCCCAACCTCACTTCTCAGAATGTGAGAAGTTACCCACAGGCACAAGGTACATATTTCAAAGAAGTAGTGACTTTTGAGTCTCTTTCCCCTTTTTAAAATTGATTTCTGGAAATCAGGACAGTGAAACCAACAGGTAATAAAGCTCTTAGGGAACAAAGAGCCTTCCTTCATGAATTCCTCTCTCCCCAACCCTCCTCCCTTTGGACATGCATCATTTCCAAGGGATTCAACAGTTCATAAGGAGAGGGAGGGGACAGCAGGGATATACAAAACTTTCTTATTCACATAGAGGGATAAATCCAACGATAAGGCCATAAGCATCCCAGCACTATGATGTAGCGTATGTAAGTGCCTTTTATCTCTGAAGTACTTTAGAAACAGCACCTTCCTCACATCCCCAAATCCCTCCCTTAAAGGTTGAGTGCCATGGGAGGAGTGGTAAGGAACTGGCAAGCCAGTGAAAGAAGAACAGCAAAACAATGTAGCTGAAAACCCTTGATTATTCCCAGCATCAGTTTGTTGTAACCTGTAGGTTCATGGATTGCACCAGTGGCTTTGAAACAGTGGTGGGTGTTCGGAAATGTGTTGTGCCAAGAGGTGATCAGTATGGCAAGCTGACCCCCTGCAGCACTGCATCCTAAGGTGGCCTTTCATATCATGCTGAATGTTGGTATGGTACAACAGACTTAGACTTTGCCTTATCTTAATCAAAGGCAGAGATTCATCATGTACCCCAAAGCCCATTTTTGCCAAGGCAAAATAGTGATCAACATAGGTCAGTGTGTGGATACAGGAAATGCATTTTGCATTTGCTGAGAAGAATGAACCAATTTTTGCTGGTGTCATTGGATTGCATCATCATCCACACCTTTGCATTTTGAGGCAAATATGAATGGGACTAATGCAGCTTTCCTGAAGACCATGCTTCAGAATTCTTTGTAATGATCCCAATAGTTACGTTTGGTAGAAAGTTTGAAAGCCACTGAACCATTTAAGAGAACACGTGATAATTTCATAGTTAAGTAAATAGGGCAGGAGGTCCAAATTCTTCTTCTGAAAGGAAACATTAGGGATGCACACTCGTGTAGAATCACTATTCATTTCTGTTTGCTTGTTTCGGAAGCCCCCATATCCGTTTTTCAGTGCCTTCCGAAAACGAATGCACTGCCAAATGGGATTTTCATTCAGCTTCCGAAAAAACTGTTCTTTTTGGCCCATTAGCAGCAACAGGGTTAAGAAAGCACCCGTTATTGGAGGGGGGGGGGGGCTTTCCATAAGCTCACCTTCCATATCCTTCATTAAGACCTGGATTTTTAAAAGGATAAGAGTTACTACTTTTTCATGATCCTTTCCCTTTGTAGAGGAGAAGACCGGGTTTAATGCTTCTTAAAGTTGTTCTATTCTAGAGGAGAGGCAGGACGCAGCTTGGCTTTGAGGCTCCTGCGGTCTGTCTCCCCGAGAGAGAGGCTGAGAGAGGGAGGGAGGGAGGGGGGGCCTCCTTGGGTGCACATTTCAAGGAGGCCTGGGGAAGGAAGAACCAATGACCTGAAGTTCAGTCAAGCTAGCAATATCATGTGGTCACAAAAGCAGAGGGAGAGCCAGATATCAGCTCCCACTTGCTTTTGTGTCGAGCTGATTTTCGTACTGAGAGGGTACTTCCTGTTCCGTGCTTCCGAAGGGGACAAAAGGAACAAAAGAATGGATGAAATGGGAGAAACTCCCAATCCACTTTGAGCAGCTGGACCAGTGACTGTATTTGATTACTAAGGCCAAAAAGCAGTTTGATGTAACAAGGAGTAAAGTATCACAGATTTAACAAGTAGGTCAAGCTCTTGACCAGGGGTCCTCAAACTAAGGCCCAAGGGTCGGATACGGCCCGCCAAGGTCATTTACCCGGCCCTCACTCAGGGTCAACCTAAGTCTGAATTGACTTAAAAGCACACAACAACAATAACAACAATTCTATCTCATCAGCCAAAAGCAGGCTCACACTTCCCATTGAAATATTAATAAGTTTATATTTGTTTAAAATGTTCTTAATTTTTAATTATTGTATTGTTTTAAAGTGTTTTTTGCACTACAAATAAGATATGTGCAGTATGCATGGGAATTCATTCATGATTTTTTTTCAAATTATAATCCAGCCCTCCAACAGTTTGAAGGACTGTGACTTGGCCCTCTGTTTAAAAAGTTTGAGGACCCCTGCTCTTGACCTTCAAATATAGCCCCTATCTCTTACTGTAGGAAGAAAATTGACTTTTGCCTAGAACAGGGGCTAAATGGTCCTTTTGTGAATGTATCAGAGGAAATACTGCATGTTTAGATAGCCTTCATATGAAAGGAAGACCTAAGTATGGACCAGTTAATTTTCGAATGGAATAGGTGCGATTGATCTCTTCCTAGAATAGGAAAGTTAAGTGGGAGGGATATATGAGCAAGTGCATAAGGACTTTGAAAAACAATGGAAAAGAATTTGCATTCATGCATCTACTATTTAAATCAACCTGTAATAAGTCATGTTGCTATTAGCAAGTGAAAGGGGGGAGGCAATTTAGGCCCGTCTTTTACAGACTCTCCTAATTCAATAGAAAATGGCAGGGAAGGGGAAAATGAAGAGATGTTTTATATCCATATGAAGTGTTGGTGGCATTGGAGTGAAGACTGATACAAATCACAGGACAAAGGCCTCTCACTGTTGTGTATTGAGATTCCTTGGAGCCATTCATCCCTCTCATCGCCATCCACACACAACTGTAATCCCTGTAATACCTTTGTTTTCTCTCCAGATAACTTTATGTGTCTCAATGTGGCTTCTTTATTGCAAGCTCATTTGCATGGATGATATTTATCTGTCCCCTTTCAAAAACATATTAATTGATCAATCAGTATATAATGGCAGAGTAATTTATTTAATATACTGCAGTACACCATATGAAGTTACTGTAAGTCAGCAGGTGACTTGAAAGCACGCACAGAGTGCATAGGTTATCTCTACCTAAAGTGGAAATTGGCTTTCTTATCATGGTTATTGATCTGGGCAAATTCATGCTTTATTGTTTGTATAGATATAAAATGACTACTGTTTACTCTGTGCTCATGGAAGCAGAGAAAGATATGGTAATTTTTTTCATGGTCTTAAGACAAAAGCATTTGTGCCATTTCATCTCCATGCATCATAATTCTGTTTCTGTCAGCAACAGAGCACTCACATTCTCAAACTCCATACTAGTTATTGAAGAAAATTGCAAGCCTACCAATGCAAGATTTAACACACAAACATATATACATACACCAGATGCCCAGAAGCCAATCAAAATTCCAGTGTCTGCCACATACCTTCAAAGACATAGTGTTATGTGGAAAATACTCTAAATTCTAGCATGCATAATTTATCAAACCAGCAGCTTTTCCAAGAGTTATGACAGACTGTCCCAGAAATCACAATCAGCTAAACAACTAGACTTCAGTTGAACAGTTGGGGTGTGAATTAACCTAATTTCAGAAACTTCACATGCGTTAAAATCAAAAGATTTGGGAGATACCTATGTGTGTGCATGTGCGCACCATTCTTCATATTATAGTTCAGGTGTAGACAGAGTCTGTGGGGATGGGTAGGGGGGATGGTTTGATTGTCTTGGGAGAACTTATCTGTTATATTGTGACCCTTTGTAATGACCGAGGGTGCATCTACACCACCATATAATCCAGTTTCTGAGTCCAGGTTATCTGCTTTGAACTGGATTATATGAGTCGACACTGCCATATAATCTAATTCAAAGTAGATAATCTAGATTCAGAAACTGGATTATATGGATGGGGCCAGAGAAAGAAGAGTGTGGAAAGGACATTTATTGGGGGGAAGGGGGGGACCTGTTAAAAAAACCTGAAAATACCAGAATACCGCAGAACGTCTAAGGAAGTCTTTGGAATAAGGATTTTAGAAGAAGGGACTTTGAAAAGGCCTTGTTCTCCTCCTTCCATTCTTGACTCACTTGTCTGTAACAGAAAGTCAACTAAGCAGTTGGTGAAGTTGCGGCTCAAAATGCAGAAAGCAGAAGAATGAGTGCAGAAATTAAACAGGTCACAGTCTGAGGGGTAAAAGAAAACCCATTCCTGTTTAAGAATGAAACTGATGAAATATCATATCCTTTTTCATATCCAGATTTTATACAGTCAATTAGATTATCTAGCACTTGGTCTGTCCTGATGATCTCACACAGGCATATCTTGCTCCAGATCAGTGGTTCTCAACCTGTGGGTCTCCAGGTGTTTTGGCCTACAACTCCCAGAAATCCCAGCCAGTTTACCAGCTGTTAGGATTTCTGGGAGTTGAAGGCCAAAAACAGCTGGGGACCCCAGGTTGAGAACCACTGCTCTAGATAAACAACCTCATCATACTGACAGCTGGAGTCACCACACATCATGACGAATCTGGTTGTGCCCGACAGGGTGCGGGAGGTACCCGTTGCCCCATGGCCGCATTGCCCAGCTTCCTCCCCACCTCATATCATGGGGAGAAGCATCCACTGCCCAGCTCCCCCTTGTTGATTTCTATGTAATATGGAAAGCATACAACGGTTCACCTTCCCTTTTGTAATGGAGTCCTGCCAGAAGCAGCTCTACATCATGGCGGACTCCGTTGCAAAACAAAAAGTGAACCAGTGTACGCCGCTGAAAAGTATCCCTTCTGATGAGGTTGCTAGAAGGAGTATTAGTCACTGGGACCCACTTCCTAGGACTTCTATGATGTTGAATAGAAATCCACAGCTACTGACTGCAAAGGGTCTTTCTGTGTTCGTGTGTATGTGTGTCTGCAGTATGGCAGGTGTGGCACTGCCATACTACAGAGACACAGAAACCCCATGTAGGATTTGAAGGGA